AGTGTTTGCATTAGTGAGAATTGTTGGGTCACTTGGAAGTGTATGCTTAACATGAAAAGAAACTGCCAAACTGCTCTCCCAAATGGCTCTGCCATTTTGCAGACCCCGCAGTGAGGTATGAGAGCTAAGAAATGCCTTATCTCTTAGTCAGACCCCACCGCCAACCCCAGAACTGGTGCTCTCCCCACTGCCTCAGTGTGTCATCCATTCCCTGGGCTGTTTTTAGAGCTCCTTTGACTAAGTGTGCGACTGTCCCACTAGTTCTTCTGGAGATTGTTCCGGACGGTAGGATGGGAGGAACAGGGAGAAACATGGAGGGAGGAAGAAGGAAAAAAGGTTGCCATTGAGCAAAATGGTGATGTGGTTTTGCTGATTGGGCCAGCCTGGTGTGACCCCTGAGGTCAGATTTAGTGAGCGGTCCTCGAGGTGGTGCATTTTCCCTGTGGACATGGATTTGGAAAATACTGCAGTTAGAATTAAGCACGTGTGGAAGGGCCCCGTGCAGCTGCCTGTGGCTCCGTGGCTTAGATTCTGCAGGGGTCTTCAGGGAGGACTTGTCCCAATCCCCAGATCTCCTCTTCCAAGGCCTTACCTCTTTGACCCCAGGCACAGTCAGGGTCAGGCCTTTCTCAGGCCACCTCAAGGCATCTGACTCCCAAAACCCTAAGCACAAAGCTGGCAGCTGGTGGCCAGAGAAGCTTCGAGGGTGAGCTGAAACCAGTGTTGACTCTTGCTGCCACCTGGGAATGCTTGCAGTTGGGGTGTTAAGACAAAGTTGACTGTATATTGGTTAGGGATTTTTTTCCATAGACAGTTTCTTTGTAAGAAACACCCTCCTTTGTCAGACCGAATGCCTAAAGAATCTCATGTCATTAGGTGTTTTTTATTTAAGGCAGCTGCTCAGATACCCCTTTGATCCTGGGCCTGCTGATTTTGAGGTGCCTGCGGGTGGCCAAGGAAGGTGTGGTCAGGAAGTGGCAAATATCCAGGCTGGAGCTGAGGAGAGAAACCTGGGCTGGACATAGCATGTGGTTGAAGCCGTGGCAGTGAACGTGATCTTCCAGGAAGGGATGTCGACTTGGAGAATGGAGAAGACCCTGGACAGGTTTAGGTGGGGTCTGTGGGGGTATGTATCAGAAAAGAACAGAGCAACTGGAAAAATACGACTGGGAATGGGGTCCTGAGAGGTGAGTAGACAACCAGGAGAACCAGGGCCAAGGGGCAAGGACAGAGCAGCGGCCGAGCCGGGAGGCTGTCGCTGGTAGAGAGAAGGGCCGTGCCAGTGGAGCAGGGAGCCAAGGAGGGGAAGCGAACTGAAACAGGGATGGATGACCATTTCAAGAAATTGGCTTTTATTATCGCTATCATGGTTGTCGTTGTCATATCTCCATTGTAGTATTAATGGGAGAGGCTGATGCACATTAGAATGTCAGCAGGAAGAAATTGGAGAGGAGGTTAAAGATACAGAAAGTGAAAGGGCACTAGAGCAAGGCTTCTGGACAGGGAAAGGGGAGGGAGACGGAGCCCAGGAGAGTGGGTTCTGGGGGGAGCAGGGCTTCTCTTCCATTAAAGCCAGAGGAAGGGAGAGGAGGCAGGTGAATTTGAACATTTAGTGGCAGAAAGTTGTCTTTTCACAGCTTCTGTGTTCCCCCTGATGAATCTGGGGAACAGCCACATGACAGAGTAGAGGTCCCAGAAGAAGCTGGCAAAGGGCCGTACGCGTTTTTACTGTCCTTTCATGTCCAGTTGACCTAAGCAGAGAGCTCAGAGCCTAAGACAGCCTGGGTGAGACCAGGGCCCCAGCGCAGCCCGGGGGCAGCCGCCTGGTTCGCCAGCGTGCGGGCTACCAGGGCCTTACCCACCTCAGCCCAACCCCTTATCTCCCTTCTAGAACCGGCCCTGTCTCCTCTGGTCAACTTTAACTTAGTTACACTTAAATCAGTTCCATAGCGTGGACCTTTTTTAGGCATTAGTGACTGGAGGAGAATTGTTCTCTTACTTCACATTTTCCAAACCCACTTCACACAGATGGAATCTCTTGTATTCCTCTAAGGCCAAACACTGAAGGGGAACAGTGCCAAGGAGGCTGGGCCCGGGACTTGTTT